CGCCTTCCAATCATCCGCTCTCGTGGCTACACCAAACCTTCCATTATGCGCCGTTGGTAAAAATGCCGGATGCCGGAACTTGTCTGGGCAGAATAAAAGCTCACCACGTTGGCTCCGATACATCAGTAAAGCTGGCGGCCCATCGTTCAGTCTACAAGGTCAAATGCCATTTCACATTCCATTTCAAAACCTAGGCTAAAAATTTGACACAAATGCATGCGCATTCCTCAGGATGATCAACGCAAAAAGCTTCATTGCATACGCTATGAAAGAGAATGTATTCAATCGATAGACCGCCACAACATCAGCGGAGTACAAACATGAGCTCACCACTTTATGAGAGTATATGGGAATGATTCGATAAATGCAAATTTCCTTTGTGTTTAAAAACCATGATTAGACTCGTCGAATGGAGCCATTTGTGGAAGTGGCATGCCAAAGATAATAATCCAAGAACAACAAAAAATTGCTTATGTCCGTGCGGCCAAAGTAAGCTGTTAACCTTGAGTACTTTTTATTGATGATTCTGCAATAGTTTTTAAGGTAATTAGTTTAGAGCAATGCTTTAGCTACAAATGAGAATAAAGCCAGAAGGTAGATGAAAAAGATACCCTGTTGTGTTCCTATGGTTACCCACCCCCTACGTGCCAGGTAGATACAGTAAAAAAACTAGTGTTATTCATCACATCACTTGTGCATGAATTCACAACAAAGAAAATATGACATATCTTTTTTCCCCACACAAAAAAACAAGGCACCATCGTTTTCCTATGACATTCTGCCATAGGCCGCCAACTTTACGAATTCTTGATTCGATGATATCGACGGTTCATACTCTCCAATAGCACACGCCAAGCACAACGCACAGTTTTCGTTTACGTCAACTTTGTTGCGACCTGTTCACCTGAACGACCGGCCTTGTCTTACACGGGGTCACAGGATCTCTGGCAATCTAAAGCCGATGGAAACCATCGTACTAGTAAAACGATTTGGGGCCTATTTTCTGTTGTGCCCTTCCATTCCAATTTCGTTGATTATTTCACATCGATTGCAGCCTCTGTTGGGTCATATTAACACAATAGAACACGAAATTCGACATGTATTCTTGGAGATGACGGAGACTAGCAATTGAGGTTTTAAAAATAGAGACGAATACTATTCAGGGTAATTTAGTGGGTTTTCCCACATAAGAAACTGCTAATATTCTCATGAATATGCATGGAGTATCTCATTGGCTTACGCTCATACTCTCGCCTGCCTCCTAGATCTCTTCCCAACCGTGAGTACTATTAGATTGCAACAACATCGTTTTAAGAGAAGCATCATCTGAGTGTGTCTATATACCCCAACTAAAAGATTGTAACTTACTGCACAACATCTGTATTTGGAAAAAAAATCAATAATTTTATGCAAGTACTTTCCAATCAAAAAACTTTTCATTCCCTTCAAAAACGTATTTTCTGACGATTGAACCCAAGAAGAAACGGAATTGCAGTAATTATGGAGAGCCTAAGGGTTATTGAAAGGTAGTAATTTTGACAATCGAGAAAGTTACATTAACTCCGTCAGAGCACAGACCATATTCAATTGATGGCTAGAACAAAAACAGTGGGTAATGTCTGTATTGCGTGCCCCCAGCCATAGTCACACGCCTGCGATGCCATCATGGATCGCGTGTGCAGAGAGGCTTTTTCGAAAAAAGCAATAACTATTTGTGCGTAAGCGAAGAGCACGTGGTCCGAGTGGTTCCCTGATGATCGTCCGCGGCCGTGTGTAGAGCCTGAGCTCTACACCCACAAACACATCTCCGCAAGTCCCAATAACACAAGAACGCCTTATACGGAGCACACCACAGTCAGGCCATTCTAGAGATTGCAAGAAGACATGCCCGACACTATTTTACGTCATTCAGGAAGAACGAAAATAACGATTTCGAATGCCCACCTAGAATTACTAGGATCCACCACAATAAGATCGTCGTATAACGGGGTGTGTAAATAAAATATAATTTAAGAATAATATTTGTATAGAGCAAAACACGTAGTTGTTCCAAAGACAGAAACTTTGTTAAATTAACTGCAACTAATGCGAACTTCCATCACGTATGAGCAAAACTCTTAACCATTCAACTTCGCACTGTTTTCAAGAAAGGTCATTGTGTTTGGGATAATATGAGAAAAGCTCTATAGATAGCAAAGCCATAGAAAACTTGGTTCTTTCAGAATTTTTTGAAGCAACCTCTTTGTAGTCTAACACATTTTACAAAGTCGTAGCACTGACAAGTAGAGAAAACTGTTTCACTACGTGCAAGCAACTTTGTCGCCCTTTATTATTGACCGCACATGGTCCTTCCTAAAAACTACTGCTGACCATTAGATAGACTTGGTAAGGATCTCGAGAACTTCAAACAGTGTACTCTGCTTCTCTGCCTAGGACGCTTCCACACGCACCTGTATCACTGTGAACTGTAAACCTTATTCTGCACCACTGACGAGCTGCCGCACGTTATTCGCTTATCATTACTGCGTAAAACAAGCAGTCTGTTCCACTTCACTAAATGAGTTAATAGATCCTTATGTTCGATCAGCGCGAAAATCTCGATTTCAAAACTGTATATGGGTTTTGTTTTTTTATACAACACGTCTTACTTACACAGCAGGCTGTCCAGCAGGGGACAACTATAGATTGTGTTTCGCCACACCGAGTTGCTGCTCTATATATCGCGCATATTATTCGTCGAGGACCAGAGACTTCACCTTTAGACAAAAATAATGGTTGGATTTAGCCGGAATCCTCCGAGATTTCACCACCCCACATGTACTTCGGTTCTACAATAATAGACCTCCTAAAACAGCGCTGTAAGCAGTATACCACCTCAAATTGTGCTTCGGACACGACATCGGCAGCGTTACTACGCACAACCAATTCATTTGATTAGTTTGTTTGGAAGCTTATTTTTCCTAACTTCGTAAACACAGATACTTTGATAGCGATTCATAATAACGCCCACCACCCCACCAGTAAACATGTAAAAAAAACTTACTTCGTCCATTATTTACCCGAGCTTTGGATCTTTCACATTGTACAACTTGATGTTGTTGAACCCAAAACCCGCTAATAATGCCTAAGGCTAATGAACGAAAAGGATCATGAATCGTCTAGAGGATCAGAGTCATATGCCTCATTTGAGCGTTTTCTTCAAAGCGGAGAAAAACCAACTGAATAGTGAAAACTGCCACTCCACATGTGAATCGCGCTTGGGCGGGTCGATCGGATTGAGTATCGATCCACAGCCACTCACACCCTCTAGCGACAAGTACTTGCGCGGCGTTGTTCATGAGATTAATCTTATTTTACCCGCACAAAGCACTAGAGGGTCTATTCAAAGCAAGCAAAAATGTCGGAACACCAAGACTTGCACTATTGAATGTTTACTTATAGTCTAAGGTTGGAGCTCTGTCCTGAGAGACATGCGAGTGCATAACAACACAAATCTATTTTCTCTGCTACAGCGCTATAAGCAAGCCTTTTTTAAAAGAAACATATTTCTGGATTGTCGAGTTGCCCGATTGAATATTCACTAGTTAGTCCAAAAAATAGAGTCCTGTTAAGCGAAATTTAAGTGCGTTAGTATGCGGGCCGTGTGACATAGAATGTTGTTTTTAGTGCCCCTTCGCTTCAAGAAAGCCTTTTCAGAAAACAAGTTCGTCTTTAAGTCTTCGAGTATTAAGCTCTTCAATGATTTCTGAAATTCTGAAGAAATCCTTCGTCCACCGATTTAATTCTCTTCAAATATGCCTTGTCCGAGAACGAAAAAAGTAACGAAAGCTCACCACCTGCGTAATGTTAAGGTGTGAAATACTAACCTCTAACTCACAAGCATTTACCGCGTCACTGAAATTACAACTAAATCTTCGATCAAAATTGAATATACTTTGTTTCATTTAACCGCTTTCTAGCGGTGGTTATGATGTTCCAAATATACCCAGTGATTTAGAGTGATGTGAAAAACTTTCGCGTCAGGCGGGACTAGAACCCGCACTTCACTCTATCCGGGAGTGCTTGCTCTATCCGTTTACACTACTGACGCCCATTTTGCACACCACTCTTTCTACGCTACAGCGCATCTATATGTCAGGCCAGCCAGCCGTCAACGGCCTGGCCCAGGCAGTCGGTATCGACATTGAACTTAGTCACGCTGATAAGTGTTGGTACTAAAGATCAAATGAAATACTTTTTTTATTTAACCGCTTCTAGCGGTGTTATTATTTAACCACTAGTTAAAAAAAATTACTTTACTTGATCTTCAGTACCAGTATCTGTTCAACGTGACTGGGTTCAATGTCGCTACCGACTAACTGGGCCAGGCCGTTGACGGCTGGACGGGCTGACAGATAGATACGCTATATATAGCATAGAAAGGTGTTGCGCAAAATGGGCTTCACTAGTGTTGCGGATAGAGCACGCGCTCCTTGATAGAGTGAGGTGCGGGTTCTAGTCCCGTCTGACCGAAAATTGTGCACATCACTCTACATCATTGGGTGTATCGTCATTCATATTGAATTATCTTGTTTTCTACATGAAAAGTGTTCATGTTCGCATGTTGGCAAAATGAAGGTCTTACCCGAAACTCTTGTATAGATGAAGCCTTTGAACAAGCGCGATTTCATTTAAAAAGACTCGGCAATGCCCCCAGAACGTGTGCTCAATTTGGGCGGTGGCACGACTTGCTTCGAAGCCCAGAAAAAAAAATCGAAATATTACTGGCACTTTTGAGATGATTGTGTGCAAAAAGTCCCCTCTATTGATCTTGATTCGAACGGTTTTCTCCAGTAAAAAATTTCGGGATACGAGACGAGATTGTGAAAACGGAAAGGACTAGTTGCAAGTTTATCGTCATCAGTTCCATACAATGTCAGAAGCATGAGGAACATGCTAGTTTGACACCAATTTAGAGCCATCGACCAAATAGCTTGTAAATTTCGGTGGCTCTTTGTCTATCTGTCAGTCATTTGCAAAGAGGAATGTTTACTGAATCACCTCGTCGCACACGACTTACTTCGTGTTTTTTTTTCCTACAATGACAGCAATTTGTCTTACAGCTTTATGACTGAATCAAATCTTCGCCCATAAAAGGCAGAATTAGATCTGGAACAGAATCCAGGGTACTTCTCAGTATCAAAAGTCACCATTTTGTATTTTAAAAAATACTCAATTGGCGTCATTAATCGCTTTCTCTCTTGTTCAAAACTTAAACTTCCATGAGAGTGACGTGCCGCGCGAAAGAAGACCCATACAAAAACGGTTTCCATTCTCATTTCGTTCCCCATTTCAATTTCCTATCCTGGACTCATTTTCACTGTTCTTATCTGACATTGAAGCTTCAAGCAACGAATTGTGGAAGAATTTCCCTCTGTGAATGACTTCTTTCATCTTCTTGTAGAGCGTGCCCAATTCCCTCGCATTAGCTGTTTAAGCTAATGAATAGCAACTGATGATACTAACTTTATTTCATTTGAAAGTTGGAAACGAAGGAATAGCCAGGCGCAGTGATAGATCGTGCAAAGTTAATAGATTGCTAGATGTGACTAGACATACGGATGTGCGATGAAGCCAACGGCTCCGAGTAAGAGTTCAGTGATCGGAATGTGGGTCTTCTTGATTTACTTCTTACAAGGCGATAGCGAGGTGGTGTGATGTGACCAACAGTCCTCAAGAAGTGCGCATAGGTTGGCGCCTTAGGAACGTGTCTTTATGATTCGAGTGCAAACAAGTAGTAGTTTCCACAGCATATCGTAGGCTTGGCGCGTTTCTCCGTTTCCAATGGCGTTATTTTGAACATAAGATATGACCGCCTCTCATCGGGCTGTTTTATCGTTCAACGTCGTAGACGATCGCATTTAGGGTAGGAGGTTTTGGGGCAGAAAACCTCTCAAAGAGTGTCTAATGCTGCTGCCGTAGAATCACCGAGGTCAGTTTAGCGAAAGCGCTCTTCAGTTTGTCACCATTCCATGTACTCGCCAGCTCTTGTGGATCATAGGGATACTCACGCCATTGCGACCTGACAACAGGACAGTGGTAATTCCTCTGGCTCACTTAGTAAGCTTTACGGTGAAAACGATAGGCTTCATTTCTGCTAAGGGAACCCGCTGTACATATTTCCCCCTCACTTCCCAAAAACACCGTCCAAGCCAGAATGGGGCGGTAAGTTTTACAGTTGTATTATAATATGTAATAACTGAGAGGTAAAAATATACGATTAGTTGAGTTGCCTCACAACTTCGTTCGCACTATTGTTTTGTTCAATTATTTTCTATTTCAAATTGGATTACTGCCAAAAAGTTGTCGTATGTTGGAGAATATTCTAGTAGTTTGGTCGATGGATGCGTAGCACCATCGCTTTGTCATCTAAATGAAGTGGGTTACCGCCAAAATGTTTGCTCTTCTGATGGACACCTCATGCATTGACCGATCACCTCACATTGCAAAGTCGATTCGCTACATTCTAGAGAAACAGGGATAGATCAAATTACTACATCCACCGCAAAGCTCTGATATTGCTTCAGCGAATTATCATCTATTCCGCACCCTGAGGCAGATTTGCGAGAGAAATAATCTAAAGCACAACAATCACTTCAAAAGTGATGACCTCACCAACTTCCTTGATCGCCATACTCATTCTTCTAGGAGTGAAGGCATCCAATCTCTGCTCAGCAAACAGTTCCATGCCATTAATTACAATGATGAATATTTTATTGATTAATCGATTTCTTCGAAGAAATGGCAGTGATTTAGGAAGTCGAAATGAGAAAGAAATCATAGGACAGCCCAATGATATAGTCGATGTTGAACTGAAGTCGGTTTCAGAGCATTATCACGTTCTATGCTAATTGGTAATTGTACATGACAGCATCACTAGTGTAAGAGCAGATATTACACCAGATTTTTACAATTCTTAACTAACATTTTCAGAGTTGCAGACCTAATACAGCCGCAGAAGAATTGATAGACGCCGTGCGTTGGTGCACTGGTGTCCATTGTGCCTCGACTACTCTACTTCTCTGCATCTGACTCTGCAGTGACACGATAAGCTCCGCCATATCGCATATAAGGCGAGATCCTTCATCCCGACGTCACTTCGACATTCACGCGACCTGAAGGACGGCCGCGACTTCCATCCGTCTGGCTCATTGCGTCATATTAGTCAAGGTTTGCTGTTATCCATATTGTCGTAGCCGATGGGTATAGTCACTGCTCTACGCACTGTGTAGCTCTTCTGATTCATACAGAGAATTGAGGTTCGAGACGTCATACACTTAGCCTCGCCAACTGCATCATCATGTATCGCCATTATCTCGTGACATATCACCATTGTATGTGACTATTATTGTGACTGAGCTTTATTATTGTGATATTTGTTGTACCAATTATATTATATGACAGAGGATCATAATATTGATCGGCCGAACGGCACACAACGAGCACTCAGCGTACATCATATAATACGCATTCTGGCGCAATCAAGGCTAAGGTAATCTGATAAGGATATATGTTTTGAGCCATGTCTAAGTACTTTGTGAGCAGCAGTCGAGCTTATGGCTTATGAAGTGGATCGTACCGCTTCATTTGACCGCTCTTTCACAGATCTAGCTCAAACAATAAAATTTTCACAAGGCAACAACATGTTTTGAGCCATGTCCAGGTGCTAAACAGGCGGCCTGTTTCGTCGATTCCTTTATAGAGGAGTACAGCCTAAAGGGATCGCTGAACCGAGGTATGGTGCTACTGAGAGTCTCGGTAGAAACGAAAAACATGGCTCAAAATATATTATATCCTTAATAAGGATAAAGGACAAAGTTCTCGAGGTTGATCAATCCCTGAGGGTTGCGCCATGCATTCGTCTTCGATATTTTACTTCGTATAAGGTGATTGAATGCATATCTGGCCTGTTACAATGACTCGGGGTGGCCTGCTGAATCGAGTCAGTGCTGTTTATCCTCCCAGACAAGTCTAAGACCAGTCTGGTACCAATTTAGCTACCTCGGAGGATGGCTTGGTGAGCTTATGAACGGGAAATCAGACCATTGACCTCGTGTGAAATGCAAAAAACCTCCAACCACTGCGCCACATGCGCTCTATTGTTTGAGCTAGGTCTATAAAGAGCGATCGAATGAAAAAGTGTGATTCATTAAAAAACTAGTGAGATAACATTCCAACACATTCGCCACTGAAATTTTAATAAAGTAGGTCTGTTCATTAAGTGGTGCTTCACGAAAAATCTATACCAAATGTAATTGTATTATAGTAGTATATCATATTCAATATAATATATTGTGCATTACGCAACATTTATTGCGTTATGGTTCTTTTTTGTTATAACAGGAAACAAACGAAGAAAAGACCCCTTTCACTGAACACGAAGTTTTCATAAAAGTGTTAATGATCATTAGAAGGCTTGATCTCTGACCACTGGCGCTACGTGGCCGTTTTTTGAAAAGATTTTTCTAAAGTTATGCTACAACCGGCTGCGCGCTTTTACTATTACTTCGCTGGAAGCAAGAAAAGCATAAGAATGTAAAGAAAGTCTTATCGTATTAGAAACATGCGTTTTATCTGGAGTTTTCTTCAAAGCAAGAAAAATCCTAATATAAATAATAATCATTGCGTTCCACATCTCAGCCGCGCCAACGCAATAGATCGATTGTTCGCTGGATATCGTATCGAATCCACAGCTGGTAGACAACCAGCTCACACACTAACCGACAAAGAAATGCGCTGCGTACGTGAAACTCGGTTACATTTCCTTGCTAAACTGCAATCAAATGGTCTTTCCAAAAAAATAAGCACAGCGTTGGAACGTTCTGCGAGAAATACGCGTGTGTGATACACAAAAATAGCTTTTTCAAAAGATTCGAATGATTATTATGAGTGCAATGGAAAGTCTTTTCCCAGCGAAAGAAGTCGTTTTTCCAGTTGTCCTCAGATAACCGAAAATAAAGTGTCATCATTGTGTACTAAATCTAGTCATCACCTCCGCGTAAAGATTTGATCAGTTCACAAGCTGGAAAAGAACTCCTGTCATCGTCTAAG